GGGGGGGGGGGGGGGGGGGGAGGGGGCAAAAGACCCATCGCCCCCTCCCTGGATCCGCCTATGATTATAAATAAGATGGGGCTCAAACTTATCATCTCTTCTACCATAAGCAGATATTTGGGCTATTATAAACCGAAAAAGCATCATATTATGAGTCCAAATTCGTAAAATTTTCGACTCCGACCACATTTATGAATCTTTCAGGCTGACCTGTTCCTGGTGGACCCTGTATTAGGGCAAGTTCATGTGTAAGCGCATAGCACAGTGCATTCCGTTGTGCATCATCCAAGCCTCCAGCCACTTTATCGCCATCAAGCGTATATTTGAGTCGATCCACAGGATACGAAGTACCAAAAACGCTTATCTGCTTTGGCGGCAAAGGTTCTGAAATGCACAAACAATTACGTGCAAACTCATCAAATCTGTCGCGACCTTAAAAGTTTGTGGGTTTCTGAACTAGCATGCGTACCCTGTGTGTGTGTGTGTGTGTGTGTACGATGGAGTGTGCACGTTAGCTAACACCTAGAGATAGCTATATATTTACAATTATATGCAAAAGACTGTAGCTATACGAAGTACAAGTACTTTGTATAGCGAGAGGTGAATAATAAACAAAACGCGGTGAGGCTCTGGAGAGCCGAAACTCCCCAGAGCAAGGTGACGCGAAGATACTACTACTCTGGGTGCCGAAGATAGGGAGGAGCGCTTTTATACCCCAGCTGACATAAGCCATAAAGATTGCCTAACTCTAACGGAGGTAGGGTGTCCAAAGATTGAACTGGGAACCAGGGTTGTTGCATCATAGTGATGCAATTGTTACTTACGTATTTAACAAAAAAACAATAAATCATTATGCGACAATTCGTTAACTGCAAAACTCAGTCAAAACATGAAAAGTTACAATGCCACTGGGTAACTTTTATTTTCAGAAAACGAAAGTACATGCATTCGCGGGCTCGGTAGCAAAGATTATACTGGTATTATTCGAGTCTGGAACATCAAACAAGGAAGCGCAGTTGGAGGCTCAACCCCCTTCGCCTTGTCCAGCTGCCCTTCGGTTTCCTGTAATATGCAAATGTCCCGTCTCTTGGCTCGAGTTCACCCCTCCGTGATATTTAATATGATGATTGGAAATAAAATGGTGATTGTAATTGTTTTGTTTCGCTGGAAGCTGAAGCGCGGCGGCAGCTTGGAGCTGGCAGCTTAGAGCTGCTGCCGGGCGATTTCTGTGGTTCGTTTATTCCTTTTGATTTGTTTAATATTGCACTAATGAAGAAGTGTGTCTTGTTGCGTGGTGCCCCTCAGCTACAGAGGCGCTTCCCCGCAGCCAGATAGGCATCCCAGTTCCAGGTCCTCCTCGTCCCGAACGTTAGAAAACCGCCCAGATACGTCTAGGATCAAGCCCAGATAATTTTACTAGGGTGCTTCCACACCTACTCAACATAACTGCGCCAGTCATTCGATCCTGACCCCTGTTTCTCTAAACTTTGCTACCAGTGCTCGACGAGTCTGGGCCATCAATTTGAGGGCCACTCGAGTGGATGCTTACTTTTTCGCGAGAGCTATCTACTGATTCATCATTGCCGTTTAATTGTAAGCAATCATCAAAAGAGACTCATGGCAGGCTTACCAGCGAGTGGTTACTATTGGCATTTGCTATCGCTTTGGTAATAGCTAAAAGACAGCGAATATGGAGAGGGTTTTGACTTTTTCACTTTTTACTAATAGGAACTGTCCATTCGACTTCAGTTTTTAATGCAGTCATAATGATATGCATGTCAGACTCTGTTCAGAGGGTCATGAGAGACACTTCAAGCATCCTTCGATCAGCAATTTTTATGCTGTCCGACACATAAATGGATCTAGGAGGGCTTGCTAAGGGAGGGAAGGGGAGGGGAGGGGAGAGAGCGACGACTGAGGAAGAGAGAAAAATGGGTCCAATGGTGCAACGACGACCGGGAGTGCGCAAGTAAGTTTTTTCCACATTTATTATTAGATCCGGAGCTTTTTAGCACTAACGCCTGCGCCACTTGCAAAAGCTCATCCTTCTCCTCCCCCTCCTCAATCCGCCAATGGACTGATACTATGCTGAAACGTTTTGTCGTTCTATGAGTTTCAATTCCGTACATTTCTGGCAGTGTAAGCACGAATTCAGAAAATCCACATGTTTGGTTAGGCAAAAAATATTGCCCTAAAATCTAACAACCGATCAACACTGCCCAGTGATCAGAGAAGAAAACGATGACAAACTGTTAAGCAGCCAAACAGCTGCAATGTACTGCTGGAGAAAACCTGCTGTTGATGACGAAAGACCTGGCATCGCTGTGTTCTCTGTAGAATTAGAGAACGGAAAGAATTCCGACGAGCCGATGCTTAGCGTAGAAGGAAGAGAAACAATGATGCTTAGGAATGCGTATTCAGTCACCAGGTAAACAAACAAACAAACAAGTAAACATCAGGGAAAGGTAAACAAACAGCGTTACAGTGTGTAGATCACGAAAATAATACCAAGAAATTAGTGCATAAAAATTTTAACTCATCAAAAAACTATCTGTTCAAAAAAAACTTACCTTGTTCAGCAGCCGAGTCCGAGGATTCTGTATACACGGTGTTTAGGGACGAAGATGACTCGCTGTGTGATAATCCCCTGTTCCTGGACGATGAATTTCTAAGATATGCTGGAAGAGCAACGTCCGTTTTTCCACTGATCAAATATCGCGAAAACGGAAGTTTATTTTTATCATTGAAAAGCTGAAAATTTATACTTAAAATAACCAAAAAAGCTAAATTTTCCGGTTCAAAAAGCACCCCATTTCCGCACCTCTGGCCTCTCGCGTCACCTTAATCTATGCGATATTTCGTATTTTTCTGTTCACCCATAAAGCACCCCTAATTTTTATCAGTACACAAAAGATATTGGACTTGCATCCCACCTGTGACAAACACTTCAAATCTACCAGAAAAAAAAATGTTTTTTTTTTTCAAATTTGACCGCATCTTTTTTTTCAAACCATCAAAAAAATATTTCAAATTTGCCCAGACCTTAGCACGTGGTAAAATCAAAAACCTCCACTCAATGCATGCAAAATTTCTGGCTATTTATGGACAACCTCAAACTCGTTCATAAGTCCTTACGTAAGTACCACGCATAGCTTGGGGCTGAAATTGAAATACTTGAGTTGCACTTGGGCAGAGAATATTTGCCCAAAATTTCAGCCTTCCAGATTTTTTGGATACCAAGTTAGCAATTTTCGTTCTGA